CCCCCCCCCGGCCCCGCCCCCCCTCCACTTCAGCCCCGCCTCCTCTCCACCTAGCCTCTCCCCCAGCCCCGCCTCCTTTCCCCCAGCCCCGCCTCCTCTCCACCCAGCCCCGCCTCCTCTCCTCCTGCCTAGCTCAGCCCCGTGTGCAGTGGAGCCTACTGTGCCCGGTTGCCTGTGGGGCTGTGGGCCTTGTGCAGTTTGTGTGCTGGTGTTCCCAGGCGCCACCTGGCGAGGAGTGGGGGGTTGCAGGAGCATCCCGGACACCCGCTCAAGGCTGACCGTCTCCCAGGCTACATCCACCTCATGTCTCCCTTCGTGGAGCGCATCCTGTGGCACGTGGGGCTTTCGGCCTGCCTGGGTCTGACAGTGGCCCTGTCCATCCTCTCCGACATCATTGCCCTCCTCACCTTCCACATCTACTGCTTCTACGTCTACGGAGCCAGGTGCGTCCGGCGCGCCCCACCCTCCGCTGGGCAAGGCGGCCCTGCGCCTCGGTATTGACACTGCGCACTCCGCAGGCTGTACTACCTCAAGGTGTATGGGCTGTGCTCGCTCTGGCGCCTGTTCCGGGGGAAGAAGTGGAACGTTCTGCGCCAGCGAGTGGACTCCTGCTCCTACGACCTGGATCAGGTGCCGCCCAGTGGGAGGGCCCCGCAGGTGGCCCTGGAGATGTGGGAGGTGCTCGAGGCATTGATGGTGCAGGGCATGGCCACTCCTGAGCCCAGCCTGGACTGACACGTGGCCCCTGGGCCCCATCTAGGAGCTTCTCTCAACCTGCAGCAGGTGGCTGTGTGCCTTATGTGCTGGCCAGGCCAGGGGTCACCAGGCCCTCAGCATGTGCAGACACCCCCCCGGTGCTGGGAAGGCCCTTGAGCAGGTGTCCAGAGCCACAGTGTGGGTGCCGGGGCAGCAGGGTCTCACTGAGGCGATGGTGCCCTTCTCCCACAGCTGTTCATCGGGACTCTGCTCTTCACCATCCTGGTCTTCCTCCTGCCCACCACAGCCCTGTACTACCTGGTGTTCACCCTGGTGAGTCAGCACCGGGGCTGGGGGTTGTTGAGGGTGGCCAGCCAATGGACTTGGGCTCTGCCTGAAGTGGGCACTGCCAGCTCTGCCAGCAAGCTGAGGTTGTGGGGCAGGCCTTTGCCCTGTAGGCCATGTGGCCTGGCTGTCCTGGACCCCTGGGCAGAGGGTGCTGGCCCCAGGGCAGGGGTCCCACCTGCGGGCATGCTGCTGCCCTAGAGTGTGTGGTGGGGCACTGGCAGAGGTGAGGAGGTCTCCCCTGGGGGAAGGGGCAGGAGAGTGGTCCAGAGGTGGCCTAGCCCCTTCAGGCCATGACACCCCCAAGTGTGGGGGTGTCCTGGTTAGAAGCCGAGGCCCTGCCACTGCCTCCCGTGTCCCAGGTTCTTGAACTGTGCACCCTCCCCAGTTGGGACTGCTCCCCAGGGCCCTGAGTGCCGCTTTCACTGCAGCTCCGGCTTCTGGTGGTCACTGTGCAAGGCCTGGTCCACCTGTTCGTGGACCTCATCAACTCCCTGCCGCTGTACTCGCTTGGCCTCCGGCTCTGCAGGCCCTATAGGCTGGCAGGTGAGTGCCACACGAGAGGCTGCTAGCCCTGCGGACATGCACCTCTGCCGGGCGTGCCTGACGTGGCAGGCTGGGGAGGCCCACCCCACAGCCCGTCTTGTGCAGAGCCTGTCTGTCAGGGCCATCTGCAGCAGGTACCTGATGCCTAGACCCGGCTCAGGGAAGGTTCACCTCTGCTGGCCCAGTAGGCCTGGGGAGGGTGGGATGGGAGTGCCCTTCACCATCTGCTGGGGTGATAACCCCTGAAGGGAGCCATTCCCACTGGCCACAGGGCAGGGCCTCAAGGATCCATCTGACTTGGGAGCTTTGGGGTGTCCTGGTGCAGCCCTTCAGCACTCTAGCCCTGGGCTAGGGTGTGGTGGGGCAGTAACACTCTGGCTGCTGGGTCCAAGCTGGGTCCAAGCTGGGGCTGCCTCCTTGGACACCCTCTGACCCTCATAAGGGACATCTCCTGCCAACCGACCCCCAGCCCCTGCCTCTATTTCCAGCTTACAAGTCCCTGAGGACTGGGCAGGGGAGCAGGCCCCAAGAGCAGCCTGGGGTGCCTAGCCCACAGCTCCCGCCAGAGCTGTTTTAACTCACATGGAAGGCCACACACAGAGGCTGCCTCCTCCCTCACTGGGTTGCCCTGGGGCCTCTTCATCCATTGACTGTTAGCTTCTGCTGTTTGAGAAGTTTCTGCATTGAGACCCTCTAGGTGTGGGAGCCCCAGTGCAGGCCAGGGCTGGGGAGGGCCCCTGCCCTGGATAAGCGCAGAGCTGGCAGATTGCCACCACTGTCCCGCCCGTGCCCCGCTGCTCAGGAAGCCCAGTCCCATTCAGGAGAGCACACAGCCTGCACCCTCCTTACCAGCCGGTGCGTCCCTGCCTTTTGTGAAGTCTTCAGAAGGATTTTTATTTATTTTTCCTATGAGAGACAGAAGCACCCTAACAGTGCCTTCATACCCCATCCACCCATCTCAGCCAGCCAGAGTTAAGAGGCATACCCAGGGAGGTCCTGGGTGCTAGCTTGAGACCTTTCCAATGTGGGTCTAGCCATGCTGCCGCCGTGCCGCCACTGGTTCTGGTGCAGAGGGCGGATGCTGGCTACACAGTCTGCTCCAGGTGGCAGATGGGACTGGCAAGGCCAGGAAGGCTATGCTCCCAGCCACGGCAGGACCTGTGTGCCGGGCTGGCCCGCGTCCACCCTCACCAGTCCCATACCCTCTGCAGCTGGTGTGAAGTTCCGTGTTCTGGAGCACCAGGCTGGCAGGCCTCTCCGCCTTCTAATGCAGGTGAGGCTTCCCTGAGTCTTCGCTCTGTGGCCCAGGTCAGGGCCTGCATGGTTTCTCCAGGGGCTGAGTGACCCCAGGTGGGTGGGTCAGACCATGCAGCCAGCTCTGCTTGGGGTAGCTCTTCTGGGGAGACACAGCTCCTTCCTCCTACCATGCTCTCTTCAGCCCAGGGCGGAAGGCCGAGGGGCTGGCTGACCCCGAGGCCTGGGGTCAGGTGGGCTGGTGGGAGTGCTGAGGGCACATCTCGGACAGTGGGCCCTGCCCGCCCCTGTCCTTCCAGATAAACCCACTGCCCTACAGCCGCGTGGTGCAAGCCTATCGCCTCCCCAGCTGTGGCTGCCGCCCCACACACTCCTGGGGCTCCCTGTGCCGCAAGCTGCTCTCTGGGGAGCTCATCTACCCTTGGAGACAGAGGGAGAGGCCGGCCTGCCGGCTTAGCCGCGTGCCCGCCAGCCTCCTACTTTGTCAGGGTGGCACTGACTGGGGCCTGGACACCCCTAGATGTGGGCGAGCCTCTGCTCACCCCATTCTCCAGCACCATGCAGGTTGCGGGCATGCCCACCAGGGGACCAGCCTGAGCCGTCACGAGCATGCCCTCCCTGATGCCCAGCAGCTCCCAGACCCTGGGACAGCCGCTGCCTCTGCTCACAGCCCCCTGAGCTGGCAGTTTGCCCATCTGCACTCCCTGGGGGCTGCTTTGTGGAGGAGCCACCAACCAGCATTTGGCCCTTGCTTCAGTCAGGCTAGCAGGGCTGCCTTGCACCTCAGCAAGCAGTCTCTGGACATGGTCTGGCACTTGGGCCGCCTGCCTGCCAAGTGCAGGAGTTGCAGGAGGTGTGGGGGTGCCCAGGGTACCGGATCAATGTGTCTGTACTGCAGGCAGGAGGAGACTGCTCCTGTCCACGCGGACCGCCCATGGTGGGTGGGTGGGTGGGTCCTGACCCTGCCTCATGTCAATAAAACCTCCACTGGTCCCCCCAAGGTGCACGCTCAATCATTCTTATCCCACTGGGCAGTGGGACTGGGGGTGTGTGTGGTCAGGCTAGGGGTGTGCAGACACTCTGGTCTGGGCCTCCTTACTTGGGCTTGCCTGGAGAGGGTGCTGGCTGTCCAGCCCCAGGCCCTTGAGGGCTCCTTGGGGCAGGATACCCCTCCCCGGCCAGACTGAGCTGACCCTGCTCCCCTATAGCCTCCAGAGGCCTCAGGGCTTGTGCCCTGTCTGCAGTCCCACAGGTGAGCTGGAGCAGAGAGGTCCCTCAGTAGCCCCAGGCCTGTGGCTCCACCAGGACCAGTGGGAACTGGCTAGAAGTCGGCCGTATCTTGCACAGGGCCTGGGCCTGCACAGACTGCCAAGATCCCAGCGCTGGGGGCTGCTTCCTGTGGTTACATGCAGGCTCCACCGGGCACCGTCGACCAGGTGCAGTTGACTCGAAGTGCAGTTGTGGGGGCCTCCACACTTCCTGTGCGTACCCGTCTGTCCATCTGCTTTGGGCTCCCATTGAGCAGGCCCTACCCCAGCCATTGCCCTGTGCCGGCCATGTCACAGGCTGTATAGCAGTTGTCACCCTGTGCTGGATGCTGGACTGTCTGTCTGAGGCCAGCCCAGTCCTGGCACCAGAGCTGGCGGGGGCAGGGCGGTCTGCCTTGCCATCAAGGTGCCACCTGTACTGCAGGCCTGGCCTGGCCTGACTCCCCTTGGGCTGGCTTCCCGCTATTCCGGCCTGGGCAGAGCCTCGCAGAAACGTCAGGGCCAGCCTACAAGCGGGCATATGCCACTCAATAGCTGGGGCTGCCTAGAGAACAAAGCTCAGAGAGGGCAGGCAGCTTGCCCAAGGCCACACAGCAGCACAGGCCCGACCATCACGCTGCCCCCCTTGCCTGTGCTCTGCTGGGCTTGGAGACCTGAAGGGATCTTGAACATGGGAGACACCGCAGTGCCTCCCTCAGCAGGTGTGGCCACATCTGCTCTCAGCCCGGCTCTCCTAGACTTCAGCATGGATTTCTGAGGACACAGGTGTCAACTTACATGGTCGTGGAGCAGAGGTCACAGTCGGGACTTGAACATGGATTCAGTGTGCATCTCACCTGCCGGCCTGGACCCCGCACACAGTGACACCTCCTGGCAGCCCTGTGGCCTGTCCCCTCGGAGGCCTCTGGTCACAAGCCTTGTCCAGGACATGGAGGCTGCGCTGGGCAGGCAGGCACCAGGAGCCCTGACAGGGCAGGGTTGGACAGGACCCACAGTGGGGCCACTGCCAGCCACAGCTCAGGCACACGCAGATGTCAGCTAGGTCACTGGTCAAGGTGCTGCCCATCGGGTCCTTGTAGCTGGTCGTTCAGGGACATCTGAGCCCTTGCAACACCCTGTCCCTCGTCACTCTTGCAGGCACCACTGTCTCCAACACTGCCCACTGCTGATGTTAGTGGGCAGAGGACAGAACACTCCCAGGCCTCTCATTTTGCCGACTTGGACAGACTCCATCCGGAGGCTGGGCCTCAGCCCTCACCCAAAGACAGTGGACGTGGGGACTGCGAGGGGATGGTGTTGGGGGCCTTCCTTGAGAAGCTGCTCAGGTGCCCCTCGACTGCCCCTGTGGGCTGCCCCACACTTCTGAGCGGGGCTTCTGTTTGCACACTCCTGGGCTCCTGCTCCTCCACCCTGGGTCCTGCCACGCAGCACCCCTCTGACCATGCAACTGGGCTCAGGGCCCAGACCCGCGTGGGTTCCTGCAGCGCCTTTCCACCCTGAGGTCCGGGACAGCAACACGGGCCTAGTTCTGAGTCTGCCCTGCGAGCAGGTCTCGCCCTTCAAGACGAGACGTGGGCCTGTGTTGGGCTTCCTCGTGCCCAGGGGCCCCTGTTGGCCAGGCAGCTGCTGGCGGAGAGCGCTTCTCACCAGCATCCTCAGCGCAGGCGCTCCTGTCCCTGGAGGGGCAGCGGTCTCATAGCGGCCCGGGGGAAGGCCGAGCGCGGCGAGTGGGGGTGCCCGCTGGGGACCAGTGTCCAGGGAAAGGCCACTGCTGGCAAGGACACGGTCCTCCGGACTGCCAGTGAGTTGCTGGCCCTGCCCTCCCCTAGCCAGGAGCGCCCAGGAGGCCTCTCCCTCAGGCAGGCGAGGACGCCAGGGCTGCCCACCACCTGGGCGCCAGCTCCTGGGCCGACGGGCGGCCATCCTGGCCTGTGACCCGCAGCGGGCTCTGTCCAGGCCGCATGCCTCGCCGGGGGCGCCCCTCCGACCGAGGCAGTGTCCCGACGGCCGCGCCTTCCGCTCACACCTGCCCCGGGGTGCGCGCTGCGCCCGAACCCGGCCTTCTCATCCAGCGCACAAGCCCATGAGTAGGCTGCGCCGGGCGCGCCGAGTCTCAGCCCCGCGGCGACCGCGCTCCGCAGCCGTCTTGCCCCGT